CACCTTCAGTACATTCCCAATACATTAAATAATTACAATCACAGGCAGCATTAACACACAGCTCATGTCAATTTAATATCGATGCACTCACGACATCAGCAGCATTTCACATCCATAAGAATAATTTATAAACTCATGCATATGCACGCCAGCCACACTTACTGTAGCACTATGATCACATATTTACACCATGAATGGTTGCCGGTTATCCCCGCCTCACGGATACCATGTGGGCAGTCACGGGTCGCTCAGCAAGGATAGTGGTCAGAGGTCTAATCAGGAAAAAGTGTGTGGCCCGTGGTGCACCCGTTCCGCAGTCGGTGTCACCACCACTCCCTCTTCTCCAAGGTATTTCTACCGTCCTCATCTCCCATATCCCCAGTGTATCGCTGAACCATTCACAGCACATTACAACGGTGCTAACACGCCCATTCACACATATTTCATTCACGCATGCAATAGTCGTCCTTACACACAGTCCACAGCCCACATGGTACTCAAATACATGGAACATAGCCCACATTTATTCACAATATCATTAATTCACCAATCAATGACATTCCATCACACACAATCACCCTCACGGGGTCCAATTATTCTATCACACATCAAATTGCATATCAATTTTCATCAAACACACAATTTCTATCTTCTATCTCAGCCACATTGCATTAATCATCAAAACACACAAGAATTACAATACATTGAGATAGAGTAGAGTCCCCCCTTACCTTGGATTGAAGACCCACACTTGGATTCGACCACGGACATGCTCCCTACACAGATTGCAGCCTAAAACACATGGAAAAACTCCATGAGAACCTAAAGAAACCCAGAAACAGAGAAAAGGGGATGAGAAACAGAACCTTAACCATTAAAACTCACCTCCAAGCGTTCCCCACAAGGAGTCAACCTTCAATCAAGCTCCCGAACGACTTTGAAGGCAATTAATCAGTGGAATATGGCTTTGGGAACGAGAGGATCAAAGAAATTTTGAAGGGACAAGGAGAAATAATCCTCCCCAAACCCTAACTCCATTTAAATCCTTTTCTGGTAGCGACACTCTCGCTACAGCGAGATATTCTCGCTGCAGCGACACGCCCTCACGCTGCAGCAAAAATCTCAAACGAAACTGCACCCTGATTTCTGCAGAATCTCGCTACAGCGAGACCCTCTCGCAAGACTGCATCCAAAAATGCACCCCAAACTGTCGCTATAGTGAGACGTCTCTCGCTACAATGAGAAAGCGACAGTTCTGGTCCTTCCTCCCAAGGCCCTCTTGGTACAACGAGAATCCTCTCGCTATAGCGAGAATAGCCCAGTATCACGCCCTGCACTTAGGCACTTAACCCATCTCAGCCCTATCTAGTCATGCATACACACAATACACACATCTATATACTTAATACACATAAACATCATTATCAAGTAAATCAACACACATATATATGCATTTAGATTTATATAAATAACAAAAATTAATATTACAAAATTCGGGGCGTTACATTGATAGTTTGAGCTTGGATGTGCAAAGACATGTTTTTTATTGTGATAGCTTAAGTGCATTGAACTTAGTTAAAAATACAGTATATCATAAAACATCAAAGCATATGCTGTTAGATTAAATTTTATTTGAGATGTGATTGAAGACAATTTGTTCTCCATAGATAACATAGTCATTGTTGATAATTCAAATAATATGTTAATTAAGTTTTTGCCTACAAAAAAAATCAAGTATAACTTGGACTTGAAAAATGTTCTTATAGCTTAAGACCAAAGAAAGTTGTTGTTTAGGTACTGATGTTTGGAGAGAATTCAAGTCAAATGTCTTGATTTGGTGTATTGACAATATTTCTTATAAATGTGATCTTGTATCTCTTGAATTTTAACTATTATTTTCTTTAATGAGTTATAATAAGGAGTTATAAGTTATTATAATGAGTCATAAGACATTATGTATATAAACTTTAAAAGTTTATAAGACTTTTTTTACATATCTTTAACTTATATTCATAGTTATAATAATAAAAATCTTTAAATCTGTCTATAATTTCATAAATGTAAATCAAATTAACTTATGTAAGTTCTTTCTCCTATTACTATATTTTATTCTTGTCACTGCAATACAATTTCAGCCAAATATATATTTAAACATACAATTTACTACTTATGTAACACCCCACACCTTTGGAAATACACAAAAAAAAATTATTATTATTATTATTTTGACGAATTGAGGAAAAATGAATTTGTTACAAAACATGTAATATGAGAAAATAATAGGATTAAAAATTCCTGCCAATAAATCTATCTATGAAAATTTCATAAATTCTACAATTAACGAAAATACGATTTAAAATTTTAATAATTTATATTACACAGGAATAAAAAAAATGCACAGCTAAACTTTATTTCGTACATAAATTTAATATTTACAAATTGTTTCTTAAAATGCATTAGGACTTAAATTATAAATTTATAAAATCAAAATATACTAAGTCTTAATGAGCATATCACTCACATCCCAAAACACTGAGACCATGAGCCTAGTCTTCATCACTGTGTCAGCCCTCTATCTTGGCTAACTCCTCCAATGTCAACTCCTTATCCTCTCCAAGGTCTCAAGTGTCAGCTACAATCTTGTTACCAGTCACTTGTTTTGAGGTAAATCAGGTGGGTCTTCCACAATAATCATGATCCAAGAAGGTGTAGACATAATTTACTGCATTTGGTGCCCTGATTAAACCATGGTATATGTACAGATAGAGTGTAGTGTATCCTACCACTAATGGGGTACTCAAAGGGAATATTATAACCTATGGTTAGTTCCAAAGAAAGTACAGTACCAGAATCATCATGACTACTTATGATAAATTTATAAAGACAAAGCCATTGTCATTCCTTAAATTCATTATTAAGTCTACTACTTATTATTAGTTCAAATAACCTAATGTGTTTTTGAAGGTCTATCATCCTCATTTCCTAAAAATATTAGTAAAGATGAGTTTCTTCCTCATCACTAAAACATATGCAATCATCAATAGCACAGTATTAATCAAACATTAATTAAATCAATCAATCAGAACACACATGCTTCAGCCACCTAATTACTAAGTTTTCCTCTGAAATAAGCATTTTATAGTGCACTAAGATAATAGATGTTGGTTGTCTCCAGCATTTCATGAGGTCTTACATAGATAGGTGAACAGTCACCAGTTAGCCCTTGTACACGGATACAACGTTTACAATTTAGGGCCTCTTAGTAAAGGTATAGGTAGAAGTGTTAGTCAAGAAATAAGTGTGAAGCCACGTGATGCATTCACTTCTAGATATATTGTGTACACTTAGGTGAATGTCATTCACCACCCTATATTTTTCCCAGATTATCACATTCGGCCTCATATTTCATACTCTCAATGTATCTTTGTAACTATTTACACAAATTTCTTTATCACTCTTTACTCATGAAATCCTTTCTTTCACCTTATTCTCATCATAATCTAACTTCGCCATTTTCAATCATACTTGGCTAACAAACATAGATACAAATCACACCAATTTCATTCATATATATATAATCACTTCATCAATTTGTCAGAGCTCGAACACCTCTAGACTCAGCTCAAATCGTATATTACAATAGATATATTTCATATCATACAAAGAATAGTCAAGTACACACCAAGTTTTCCCAACATAAAAATCATCCAGCATATATTTACAAGAAAGAAAACACACCATCATGCTCTCAAAAGTACATAAGATTTGCTATATTTTAATGATGGGATAGAGCTCTCCTTACCTCAGTAAGATGATTTTGCAAGGATTTTGTGAAGGATCTTGCCTAAAGACTGAGTTCTTCCAAATAACAAAGGGAATGAACTTCCAAACTTGGATTCGAAGGAGGAGTAGGGTTTACCAAGGGTTTTTCTAAGAGGAAGAAGAGAGAAGTCAGAGGAAAGTGAGAAGGTTCATAACTTGAATTATAATCCAAGTTTCTTAACTTAAAAACTCGTAAATACCCCGTAGCTCACGATATTCTCGCTACAACAAGAGCTTCTCGCTACAGCGAAAAAATCAGACATCAGTTTTTCCCTGTTGTCTATCATTTTCAATACAGTGAAAGCCCCTTGGCAAAAAATCCTCGCTGCAGTAGGAGAATTAACGAGAATGCAGTTGAATCATCCTTATCTACTCTTCGCTCTAACGAGACTCTCTCGCTTCAGTGAGCCTGATTTTAGATAATCTTTCTTACTACAACAAGATGTATCTCGCTACAATGAGAAATCATACAACTCTCACACTTACAACTCTTCTAATTCCAAGTAACATGCATTAATAATTATCATACAAAACAAAATAAATAAATAATAAAATTAAAGGTGTTACAACTTACACAAATGCAACAAAATTCATCTCATTTATACCCTTATTTAAAATTCATAATTTTAGTGTATAATTTTATTTAGAAAAATTGTGTAAACATGATCTAATTTAGAATATAAAATTATGCTAGTGTTAAATACAACATACCTTTGATATTTAAAATTAATTAACTACAATTTTTTGTCTTTTTGTTTCTTCTCTATGTTGGGGTGTTTTAAGCATAGTTTTAAAATAAAATAAAAAAAAACCAATGGTCAATAATAATGATATAGAAGAAAACAAACAGTTGTTTTTATTGAGTTTGGAAATTGGAAGCAACATTATATCAAGGTTCATTAACATCAAAAGCACAATTCAAAGGAAATTATTTTCAACACTTCTTAGAAAACTTTGTTGTGCGGGAAGGAATTTGAAAGAAATTCACGTGAGAGGAGAAAGAAAGAAAGAAAGCATTCATATGCAAACAAATCTGATCCATTGAGATCACTCTGATGAACATTTCGTTTCTAGCTTGGCCGACATCTTTAGCTGGCTTGGTGGAATATACAGAAAGGATTATATGTGACGGAAACCAAAAAGAAAATTGTTACAAATTTTTTTTTCTTTTTCCTTTCATTTTCTTTTTCCATATAACGTTACAAAACATCAGTGATGCATGTAATCAAGGCCTGCCACTTGTAGACTTTGACCTGAAAACGCACACACCGTCTGGATTTTTTTTTTCCTTTTAAGGATACATTTGATCTGGACCTTTTTAATCAACTATTTACACTCTTAATGATAACTAGTATCCACTCAGATGTGAAGCTAGCCTTTGCGTAGCTCACCTTTATAGCACTCTAGTTTGTCTGGCCGAATGATACAGTTCAGAACTTGCTTATATAAGTAATACAAGTACTAAAAACATTAAAGATGTCCATTTGACAGTCCTAGCATAACCTGCAGAAGCTGCAAAATAAGAATGTCAGTCGAAAGGAAATTATTTCATGGTCAAATACAATGTTTTAAATATTAAACTCGTTGTAGTATGACTTCATGGTTTAATAATGATTTAAGCTAATACTGAAGAAATAGTAACCTCCATTTCAGGTCTATGCCACTATTTGTGTCTTCAAAAACATTTTGACTATGGGAAAAAAAAAAAGAGGACAAAGACACGACCTTAGTATGAGCTTGTGCTCATAAAAATGCAAAACCATGAAAGAACTTGCAGGACACAATCAGAAGGGTGTTAGTTTCCCTCATGAACCGAGTAAACTAAACAAAATTCAATACAAGATGGTATTTGTTAAGATGTCTCACATTAGATAGAAATAGAATCAAAATACTCCTTATAAGCAATTACGTAGTCTTTCTCTTATGAGTTAACTTTTAAGAATGAGTTAGACCCAAAGTATCTTATTATGGTATAAGAGCTTATCCAATCCTGTTGGGCTACCCGTAGATGTTCAATCTTACAAACTTTACGTACCAAATGTAGACCCTTGGGTGTAAGAGGGATGTGTTAAAGAAGTCCCACATCAAACTAGCATATAGGGGCTTGAGTAGTCTTTCTCCTATGAACTAGCTCTTCAAAGTTAGTTAAGCCAAAAGTTTCTTGATATTAAAACATGCACATGCAAAAAAAATTTGTAAAACAAATTGTCTCTAATTTAGAGTTAATATGTTAGTTCATGCAAACAATTACTACCATATAATTAAGACATTAAGGATACTCACATGAAGAAGGTGATGGCCCATGAAAATATGCATTAGGAGGGGGCTCAGTACTAGCAAAAGCTACATTTGGTAAAGGACTCAAAGCAGGAACTGAATAAGAGGCATGTGATGGGGTCCCAACCCGTGGAAAGGTAACAGGATAATGTGGAGCATTAGTAGGGGCAACTGAAGGTGTTAGATGGACATGTTTCAGAGTATTCCGTGTAAACCTCTTCCTATACCCAAACCAACAACTAGGAGGCTGAGCATAAGTTCTCCCTGGGGCAGGCACAGTTCTTGCAGGGGCAGAAGAACCAAACATAGGTGAAGTAGCACCTTCCCCGGTCCTAGGTGCAGGTTCGGGTGTAGGTGGAATATCAGGAAATACTTGGGCATTGTGGCGGTGGCTTTGGTGCTGATGATGATGGTGGTGGTGATGGTGATGGTGACGATGAGGCAGAGGGGCAGGGGAAGGTGACCAGGTAGAGCCACTACGTCTACCACCACTGCCATGGAGGGAGTGTTGCAAGATGGAGGAAAGTCGAACTTGCTTAACCCTACCAAATTCAGTGTTATTCAATCCGAGGTTCCATGAATGATGTCCCATGATCGTTTGTGCCAGTTGCTTTAGCCTCCCATTTGATGGTGTAATCCCAACTGCAAGTAGGACAGATGATTGAACAATAGTAGGAGCGACTACTGTAGAACCTTCAGAATTTGATAAGATGACATACAAGTTCTGCATACAAACAAGGAAACCCAATCAAAATCAGCTTACTGAGACCAGTATGTCATCGAAAATCTTGCAAGTATCAAGAACAGGTAAATGTATATTATGTAGGGAACTCCTCAATTTAGGATACTTTTCAAATCATGAAATAGAGATTATACATCCAAGAAAACCTGCTTATTTTTCATGAATAATATTATTATTAATTCTGCTTACAGAGTCCAACATCAAACTTGACACACTTGTAAACTGACAGAGATCCCACAATCCATATAGAGGTAATTACACAAGAACATAGCCATATTGACAGATTTGCCATAACATCAGAACTGAAGTTGAACTTTAGAATAGCAGGTATATATAATATTTACAATCAAGAGCAAAGAGCAAACATTAAGAGGAATAAACAAACCTCATAGGGTGCCAAATGTAGTCCAGACTTTAGCTGACTTGTCAGCTCATCAAAATTTGATTGTATTTCATAAATAGAGAAATTCAAAGTAAAGTTGAATAATGTTTGGACTGTCTGCAGAGGAAACACAGTCTGTTGGGGAATGATAGTGATCCCTCCTTTAAATTTTAGCACCTCAAAAAAGGAGGGAACACCAAACAATGATGGAGTGAGCTGGAGATATGATTGGCGTATAACCAGTTCTGTAAATGATGCTCTTATCAAACTAATGGCAGCTGAAGACATTTCTGAATATTTACCATCAGGATCAACTGCAAACACCACTTTTGTCATGTTTGACCCTGGTAAAGGATCTAGGGACAAAATGACCACCTGGTTTTAAAATATAAGATAATAAGAATGACATCAATATGAAATATTAATAAAATTTCATTAGAGGAAACTAATGAGAGAGGTACTTTGGTAGAGAAAACCCCTATCTCTTCAAAAATGTCATCAGAAAGCCGCAAGATGTTATCCTCTAGAAAAGAAACTGGCATCTTAACATAAAAGCTTGCAACAATATCATGACCTGAAACAGCAAAACAATGTCATTAAGTAAAAAGATTTGATAATCATGTTTATATCCATAATTATAGTGTATCCTGTATCATAAAAATCACATAATATACGGCAACATATAAGATTTGAGCTTAAAAGATAAGGAATATATAATTACAATCTCATCTCCATATGTCACAAAATTGAAAGATCATCATAAAGATGTTGCATTACATATAAATTGAATAAACAACATTTATGCCTCTCGTAGATAACATGTATTCTCAACAATTGAATGTTATTTCTGAAAAGTTAAAATAGTATCAGTCTCAGTGCCACATTCAGCAGCACGTCAAAAGACACAAAAAAACATTGCACCACAGGACCAATACCAAAATGGATGAGATAGAAGAGAATTCATTTGAAATTAAAGGGGAACAAACATTATTATAATTGGATTTTGCTAACAAAATAAAAACTAAACACCATGTATGGATGTTCAATATTTAATTAATCATAACTTAAAATACATAATAACTACATTAATTTGATCAAAAGATAATTTAACTAATACAAATAATACTTGACATGATCAAGAATTAATGTAATAAATAGTTATTCAAACAAAAGGAAAGTAGGACACTAGAATAAAAATTGTAAGCAGCCATAAAGAGATAGCTGAAAAAAACAAGGAGACCTATTCAGTTGATTGTTAATACCACCATATGTCACCAGTTTAACCTAAAAGAATTTTATATCCATGGCTTTAAACTTCATAATCAAATTTCAAATTATTTTATTAGAGCCACTTATAGTGATCACAAGAGATGTAGCAGCACCATATCCAGAATGAAAACAAAATATCCCATTTCTCGAGTCAAACAAACAGTACATGTTCCAACACATTTGCAGTCTGACTTGTTCCTTTACTCTTTTCGTGGGAACAGAATGTGAATCAGATTACATGCATGTTTCTAATCATTCCGGTACAAGTGACAAATCAAAGTTACATATACCTTTTAAGTAACGACATTACTGACACATACAAGTTACTTATCATTGAGCCATTATTACTAGAACAGAAATGTTAACAATACACACTCTAATTGAGCCATTATTACTAGAAGAGAAATGCTAATAATAAGCTCTCTAACACACTCTTTATCATTTGTTAAAATTTATTGAAAACTAACAAAATCATGTGGATTTCACTCTTAATTTTATGATTCTCAGTCATATTTTTGTAGTTTTTAATAAATTTCAACCAATAACTGAGAGTAAGAAAGTGTGTCAGAGAGTATATCCTAGCAATCCTCTTACTAGAAATGATTTTATTTAAATAGAATTCTAATATTTAATCACCCAATATTCAGTTTTTTATTAATTCCCATACATCTATAGACAAAAACCCAAAGAAAGAAGGTTAATTTCATGTATCAATGAACCACACAAATTACTTCCTTTAAATATTCCAGCAAATAAATTCATTGGCAACAACAAAATAAACTTAATGTAAGAGATGAGAATGTTGTACCGGATGAGTAGACATGCTATGCAAAAGCATGAAGCAAAAAGGTATATTATTAAAGAAACATATATAGAACTATATATATTCCAAAGCTAGCTGCCCCAATATTGCATCAGACTACAAAATTCCCATCATTCTCTTGCTATTTATATCTTCTCTGTCCCTGCCTCTAACATTTCTTTTTTCTCTGTTCCAGTGTTTAATCACTTGTGTTGTTCATTTGTCATTTCCACCTTAAGCTCCTCTTATTATTATAACCCCATTGATTCTTGCACTAACAGGTAAATTTTTATGCAAATCAAGTATGCTAGTTATGGGCGTAGACATGTTCAGTGCTAGTAAGCAATAGAGTAATAACAAATTGTGATTGTCACTATCAAAGCATGATTCCTTAAAATTGTGATTAGCTCTAAAAGCTTCGAAAATACCAAATGCATGTCCTTAAGTTTGTGAACATGCATCGCCAGAACACAATCTTCAAATAAAGCGCCAAAACCAAGTCCACAAGATCAAAAGCTCCAAACCTAACTTCATATAGACAAGAGGAAAGTAACAACAATTTCCCAAATAAACCACGACCGTTGAACAAACCCCCTTCTTTTCAGAACGAACACTTCTAAGCCTTAAAAATTATAACCACCGAGTTTGGTACGAGTAGCAAGACTGCTCACCCACCACATCCATTCAGGTGAGCCACCTCGGTAGTATTCGGATTACACTGGATGGAAACCAAAAAAAGATTAAAAATTATTATTTTTTATTGAAAATCATAGAAAAATATTTATTAAACCTTTATATTTCTTATATAATAGATTTTTTTTAATAAAAATTTATTAATTTTACATGTTTAAAGTGAGATGTTAACAAAACCGTAACGAAAACTAAAAACCGCAACCGACAGTTTTATTTTAACAAAATCTAAGTTACCGACACGCGGAAACATTAATTCCACGCCATCTTTATCCTTATCCTTATTTTATAACAAACCTAAAAATTAAAAATTAATAAATACTTATAGCCAAATCGCTCCCATTTTCCCTCACAATTTATTTCCTCATAAATTAAGAAAATAGAAAAAAAAATGGAAAAACGGATCCATAGTCAAATGAACAATGAAAAAATAAGAAAAATTCACCTTTGTACTTAGAATTGAAATGCAGATTCTTTTGATCTGCGAAGTGAACGAATGGGGGTAACCAGAAGAGTGCGGAGAGGAACAGCGCGACTGAGAAAAGCAAGACAAGGACGCATCTGAGTCCAACGGCAGAGGCGCAGCAGCCACCGCATCCTGCCGCCGCCGCATCCCGCCGTTGATCCTCGGCGGTGACTGTTGAAGGCAGGGTTTGTTGTTCATCTCGGGGCTTTCCCATTGCCGGCAAAGAGGGTCAGGACCCATCGTGTGTTTGGGTTGAGTTTGGTGTACCCATTTAACGGCGAAACTGATAAAGTGGGTTTCAGTCTGCGTGTGATTTTTTAATAATAATAATAATAATAATAATAAGATGGTGATGAAGAGAATTAAGAGTTTAATTTTGTTGTAGGGTTTGAAGTTTGAAGGAAGGAACGAGAAGAAGGCAAGAAAGGAAAGAGAAGCGAGAGGAAGGAGTGATTTTTGTAAAAGCGACAGTACTTTTCCAGAGTGGGGGTGGTGCTGATTTATCTGTGTTTTTGTTTTTTCATTTTCTTTTATGAAAATAATAATTTGTTTTCAAAATTTGAAAGACAAAAAGTTGTACGGCGTATTGTAACAAATTAAAATGCTTGCTACCAGTGCATTGAATTTAGGGTGGCCTAACGACTGATATTGGTTAATGTTTAGTTAAAACAGCTTTCAAAAAATAAATGATTAAGATAATTCTTTTAACAAAAACGTTGACTTTAATTTTTTGGAGGATTAATTTTAAATTTTAAATAATTAATAATTATAACATGTTATCAAAAATATATTTATTATTTTATTATATTTATTAAAAAAATTATTATTTTAATATATTGCAATTATTAAAAAAATAATCTTCAAAAAAGTATATAAATTTAATGATTACTGAGTTATCTATAGAAATAAAACTAGTTTGGTTTGTAGAAATAAGATAAGGAAACAAAATTTCTAATTTTGTTAGCTAAAATTTTAATTACAATTTTATAATTAACATATATAAAAAAATAGGTTTAAAATTTTTAATATACTCAAGATTACTAAACTTTGAAATTAAAGTAATACTAATTTTATTTATAACTGTAATTTTTTTAAGATTTTTAAAAATATTTAATACAAAATTATAGAAAAAGGGAGTCAAATTTTTTAATTATTTTTTAAAAAATAAAACATGAAAATCATTGGGATCAATAGATTTAAAATTGTCAATACTAAAAAGAGAGTATCTAACTTCTTCAATAAACAACTTAAAATTAAGTTTAGCATTGTCACATAAAAGAAAGGAATTTAAGCTATAAAGGTAGGATGAAATGTAGAATCAAAATAAATATCCTCAAAATAGTAAAGGCAATGGATTTAAGTTTCACATAGTCATATTCTCAATTATTCTTTTCATCATTTAGGGCTTTAATTAAATTTCTGTCTACAAAAAAATCTCAACTCTATAAAAATATATATTATTCCTATCCCCAAGTTTATGTCAATTATCCCTATAATGATAGTACCAAAAAGTCTCCTCTTATTCCAAAATTTGTTAATATTCCTCTTGTAAGGATTTCATAAGATTAGTAAGAAAAAGATTATCCGCTAAAACTAACTTACAGTAAATACCCTCAATTCTATTAAATATACATTTTTTATCTCTTGAATATATTGTCAAAAATAGACAATGTTCCATTCAGAAACATTAATTTGAAATCTAAATACATTTGCAGACTAGGAATTAGAAGGTAACTAGGAATTTCTAACCTAAGTATGGAAATTAGTGTAAATTACCTAAGGAGCTAAAAGATTAAAAGATATTTTATAATGTCAGATAGAGTCTTTATTTTTAATTTTTAGCCAAAGATCATCATTGTCAGGCTTTAAGATTTGAACATGAATTAATGAGCTATTTTGAAATAACAATTGCCAAGAGTCATTAGCAACTGTCTTATCTAGTCTCTTCTTTTCCTTTGCTAGGTAAAGGAATTACTATTAAACCCTGGATCTTACAATCCATAGGTATCTAAACATTCAGCAAGTTTTTTAATACTAGAATGGTTAGCAGGTCTAACTTATACCTTTTCAAAATCATAGAGTACAAAATTAAAATCAACTAATTCCTTCCAACACTCGACTTTTATTCCTTCTCGAGGGCTAGCAGAAATATATGAGAGGATCCAATCAAATTGACCGCAGTTATTAAGATGAATGGAAAATTATGATTTAGCCAACATAAACTTTGACTCTATTAGTATTTCAACAACAACAAATCCTTCTAAAATATACTATACTATCCATCTTTTCAAAACCATCTAGATTAATTTTCTTAATAATCAAGTCAATTTTACTAAGGCTAACTCTAAGTTTAAATAGAGCAATAAAATATAATTTGTAAATGATAATCAAATTATTTATTAATCTAGAAAAAGATTTTCTCTCTATACCCCTACAATTTTCAAAAAGACAATTCATAGAACTAAGAATGAGAATAGGCTACGCCTTTAAAGTGTTGAGATTCAATTCTATTACAGTTCATAGACTGGACGGTCTCAGAGGTTCTAAGAGCTTTCTTTTGAGGAATTTCTAAATCCATTAAAAGGTTAATGTTAGGTGACCTATCAATAGGGTCATAGACCATATTGTCCTAAGTTTTTCATATGTATCAAAACTTGATGCCTATCAAGTCTTAGATAGACTTTCCCATCTAATTATTATCAATCAAATTCTTTTGGATTCAAGACATTAATAGAAGAGTATTTTGTCTATCTTGCTTAATTTTAGTTTGAGAATTTTGCTCATGACATGGATCAATCAAAATCTCAGGTTGTGTACTTTCATGTTTCTCTCCACCCAATTTTCTAAATTTAGTTAGAGGTTTAGTTTATGGATTTTCTTAAGATAAATATTCAATTTAGAGCTATTAACAAAATTATTAAGAGATCTAGGTTTAGAAATATCATTTTGAGGTAACTCATTACCAATGTGATCAATTTTAAGATTACTATGGTCATCACCCATATTCTAACCCATCCCTTGAATAGAATTACCTAGGACATCAAACCTAGGGACAAACCTTGCCAATATTTTTGGGATTGAGATTGACCTAGTTTCTTCCTAACAAGTTTCTTTAATAGCATCCAAGGGTCAAAGGTACTATGCTCTTGTCCTAGTTTCCCTATATAGCGGTCTTGACCTCTTTGCTTTCTAGAGTCAATTGGTTCCTCAGACTCACAAATATTACCTGAAACTTTGTTACTAATACTAGACATAGGTTCTAAACCTTCTTGGTTAGAGCTAATAGGTTCTAAACTCTCTACATAATTCCTGGTTATGTCCATATTTTTCACACTTAATACAAACAAGATGCAATCCCTCATATTATACTTTGAACTCCTAAGCTAAGACGTTAAAAGAGGGAACCAATTGCTTTCTTAAATATATTTTCACACATATCCTAAGAAATCTTCCTCTAGAAAGTAGGGAGGTGTAAGGAACAATTTTGAGCATTAATCCCAAGCATGCACCAACCTACCATAAAAAATTTCCATTATAGAGTTCTAAAGGAAGATCAGGGATATGAAATCATATTCTTATTTTCTTAAGACTATAATCTTTTCATCTAAATAAAGGCTTCCACCTCTGCACCAACAGATAATGGTATAAAATAAGCTAATAACCCTCAAAGAGAGCATGCTTATAATCTAATAGATTATCAAATTTAAGCAAAAAAAAAAATCATTATTAAGATCTAAAATTTTTAAGAGGTCATTTTTCCCTAAATATTATCTAATTTCTAAGATAAGTAATTAAAACTTATTGATTTCTCTAAGAGTTTAATTATTAGGATGAACTTCCAAGAAGAATATTACAATTCATAATCTTCTATAAAGGAATTTTTAGTTCTTGACAAAAGTTCTGTGTTATTTAGGATTTTATCATGACCTTTAACTTCATAAACCATATTAAATTCTTCTAAGAATAAGGTCACTTGTTCTTTGTGACAGCTTTAACAATTTCATCATTGTCAAGAATAAGGTCTAAGCCCTTAAACTCTAACACCTTATCTTTATAAGAAATAAAACAAGAAGATTTAGGGTTTAAGAACACTTTTTTGTGTGCAAATTTGTAAGTATGTGTTCTTGCATATACAAGTTAAGGTCCATTATAAGGTACGCATAATTCACCTTAACCTTGAAACTTCGCTAAATTGTGCTAAAACTTTACGGCACAAAATGGAGCAAGAATAGGCTAAGGGTAAGAAACTTTAGTAGAACCACAACGTCCTATTTTTTGTAAAAAAAAAAAAATCTTAAAAAATTAAAATTTTCAAACGAAACTTTCAAACATGTTTTCGATATATTTTTTAAAAAAAATATTTATAAAATTAATTTAACCTATATATGTAATCTTTCTACGTTTAATTACTCACATTTAATCTCTTAATTTTTTTATTACACAAATCTAATCAATCACATCAAAATATATCTAGTAATAATTAGTAAAAATATTCCAAACACATAACGCATCATTAATTTATATAAATTTACAAAACAAAAGTATATTAACATTAATAAAAACAAAAAAAAAATGTCTTTTGTTATATTTTATATACTTCATTTAAATATTTTTAATATGTTACACATTTATTATATTTTTAAAATAATTAAATAAAATTTTGGAGTAAATAACTTAATTTAAACAATTAAAAAATTGGAAAATATATATATAAACAATTAAAACTAGAGAGTATAAAATCGTATATACATTATAATATAAGGACAAAGTGTAATTAAACTTTTTTAAAATTATAAAAAATTTAGCAAATTTCACATCAAAAGCATCAATTATAAGCTTTTCTTAAAACTACTAACAGTCATTTTAGAAACACAGCTTAATTAAGCCTTTATGTAATAGCTCTTATTACACAACGATTTATAACACATTTGACTAAAAAACTTCTTGAAATAAGCTGAAAAAAGTTTATTCTAATAAACTATGCTGAGTAACTTATTAAAATAAACTGAAAAGAGCTTACAAGAACCGTAAGCTATTTCCATTAGTTCTCTAAGTTCTTCCAAATGAAACCTAATTAAAAATTTTCTGAAATATTTATCTACTAAATAAAAACACCCTTGTTATGTTGAATATTAAATTTAAGCAATTATGCATAAATAACTATTCATTCAAAAATAGTTCACAACTTTAGAAAAACAACTCCCATACTCAGGTCTCAAACAGTTTTTCACTCTAAGCAATCAACATCAGTCCATATGATCTTTCAATCAACACGAGTAAACTAACAAGTTAAAAAAATGGACTACACACACTATAGAGTATAGTCATTCAAAGGGCCACCCAGAATACCCTCTATGATGACTATTCTCAGGGATAGTTGGTGTTGGGGAGCTGCTTGCAGTTGCTTCATCATTACGGCTAGAATTTGAAGAACGGAAAGGCCACAAAAAGGAAAACGGGTTTCTCCTTCCTTGGTTCTCCCTACCACTACTTACCCTTCCATTGCCACTGCTACTATAACTGCTTCTACTTCTACCATTTGCACCACGGTTACTGCTCAATCCTTGCAGTGGCAACTCTTGACGGCAGACAGGGCAGGTGTTATGCTGCAGCAACCATGGAACAATACAATCTGAGTGATATAAATGGTTGCATGGCATTTGCCTTGCATCAGACCCCAGCTCAAATTTATCTTTGCACACAGGACAGTGTGAATCTGATCGAAGATGCCTCTGCGTGATCTTGACAGTAGGCATCGCATCTATAGAGGACCTGGACGCTGGTGGGGGACCTTGCCTGTTGTTAGCTGAAAACTGTTCAAACAGTTCTTCTAGTCCAGGACCAATAAAATAATCGCCTGTGTTACCTCTTGTCAGACCAATTCCTGGAGCACCGTTAAAGAGAGCTTCAAAGCCACCATGTCCAGACAATCTGAAAGGAATTTGGCCACCAAAGATCAACAGAGGAGCAAACCCTGCATTGTGTTCGGGAATTGAGTCTGAATGTGCCCTGATATCTCGGCTATGGACCCTATCTGCCATTTGATGCCTCATGAAAGCAGAGAAAGTTTCCATGAGTCCAAACCTTTGGTCTCGCTCTTCATTGTTGTCCACTCCTAAGAAGTCCAGAGGGTTAACATGCATCATATCATTAAGTTCTTGAACAAATCCCTCATTACAGCTAGGACAAACCATATCTCGCCGTCCCAGCCGAACTGGCCTCCTGCAACTGTAGCACCAGTGAGTGTTCCTACTATTTGACATCCTATTGCTTACTTTCTTAATGGTCTCAAACAACTAATTCCAAGGCTCTTTCACCACACTGCGTTTTCTTTAACCATCACAACAGCACAATGTCTGATATACTGCAAAATAAATTTGATAACAGTCAACCAAGATGAAAAGCATAAATAGTCATTGGATTTACTCAGATTTAAGGTGGATTTGGGTAATCAACTTAAGCATTTTTCCGATAAGCTCTCATCATATTTGGACCTATGACACAAATGTGATCATGAAACTTAATAAAATAAGATAAAAAAAGCTTATTTCGACAGGCTGTACCAAAAAGCTTATTGAAATAAGCTGAAAAGGGCACATGGGAGTCATAAGCTACTTTCATAAACTCTCTGTAAACTCTTCCAAATACCCCGTAGACATTAACTAACAATTGAACAAAATGCTATGCTGCTCTCCACAACAAATATACTAGTCTAAGTGTCTGTATGAAGCACTGTACCTGTTACCCACAAGTGTCGACGTTGATTTAAGAAACATCTATCGAATTTATCATGGATGGCAAAACTCTCAGGTAAAGTTTCTACAATGCCAGTTGGTGGCAGAAGAAAAGAAAAGAAAATGTATATATGGATTCACACATTTTACCTTAGACTTTCTATATTATATATTTCCCTGATCATAAGTCATCACCAATCTTCCACTTAAGATTCTCCATATATAAAAAGACTTGCACACTATGCTTCCAGTTCCACAACAAAGTTATTACTTTTGACTTACCACCTAAGAAGAAGTAAAAAACAATGGACACAACTCACACAAGCAAAACTATTTCAAAAAATTAGATTCAAAAGTTATATACAATTTAAATTCTAATTGAACTTAAAATAGAAATTGAAGCATGAGCACTTATTAGATTAGATGTAATCCGAAATGAAAAATCAGGATTATATAAAATTACATGCCCTGTGATGAGAATGTGTTGTTTGCAAGAACTTGCTCTGGAAAGTTCCCCAAATTCAATATATATAACTTTTTTTTAATACTTGTCCAGATTTAAAATTTTTAATTTAATAATTATTTTTGGCTCTTGAAAGAAGAGAAAACAAAAATTATTTTGGTAAAAGGACAAATCTAGTTTTGCAATCTTCAAAGGTTGGAAAAATATGGGGATTTCAGTAAAAACAAGTTAAGAGGGTAAGATCTTTGGAATCCTCGAGGGGAATGAGGGATCAAGTGTGAACGCACTAGTTTCTAGAACCTTCGTCCAAACTCATTCCTCCACTGATAAAAGATAAGAACAAAAGACAAATGCAAGTCTTCAGTGAACAAAATAGTAAAGTGAAGGAAATAGCTTACCAAGCTTGAATGTGGATCGAGAAAAAACCACGAGTCGCTTAGAGGAAAAGTGAATGCAACTTCTGCAACCCTAACCACTGCATGATGGCATGGGACAGGGAAAGAGGATTATTGTGTAACCGACATCATGCTTAGCTGGCACCGCATGCATCATTTCTTCTACAGTTCCACTTCCAGTGCAGTAGTGGACCGTGGTTGTTTCTATATAACAGCACTGTTTTTTCTTTTCTTTTTCTCTTAAATATGTCCTTAGTGCTAATATTTTAGGGAATTTTTAATTTGTTTCTTTAAATAATTTTTTATCTTTATTTTTTTAATTTTATTACTGATATGATTTATCAAGAGATTATTAAATGTTCAATTTTGTTCATCATATTAACAAGAAAGATTAAAAATAATAATTTATTAAAATATGAGAATTAAAATAAATTTTTTTGAGAGATTAAAAATAAAAAAATTACTAAAATATAAAAACTTAAAATATATTTAAAGTTTTCAAAAATTTTCAATAATTTCATCCTCTCTTTCGTTAAAAATGTCCATCAACATCAAAACGGATCAAATTTAATGCTATGTCAAAAATTAAATTAAAAAAAAACCTGAACGAACTAAAAAAAATTATTTAAAAAATATTTTGTCCATCATATTTGTATTATTTAATTTTTTATTTTAAAAATAAAAAATTATTTTTAAAAATGTAAACAAACGTACTTTGAATTATTTAATCTATTTAATTGAATTAAATTATATTTTTTTTTAAATCAATCAAAATTCAACTGCACTATAATTAAATTGGATGACTTTTTATCTAAAAACTGATTGAATTCAATCCGAGTCTCTATTTATGTGCACTAATTTTGTTCTTTATACTGAACCCGTTATAAAATTCAATCTTAGATTAAGTATTTTTAAATTTGTTAGTATTTTAATAATATTTATAATACAATTAATATTAAAAATTACTATAGTTAATTAAAATAAAATTACATGTATGTAGACAACATATTTGCATATTATATATATATATGTGTTATATATTTAGAAGTGTAGATAAAAAATATATTTAGATAATTATAATTTTGAAATTATTAGTTAATTTTAAACTCCGATGATCTTTATTTGAGAGAGAAAAAAATTACTATAATATGATATAGGAGTAATAATATTAGTTTTTTTTATAAATTAATTTTTTATTACTATAATAATAAATAAGATAAACTTAATGCTCAATAAAATAAGAAAGTATTTTATATTTTCTTACACGTAAAATAATTATAATTATTAATTTTATATTAATAAATAGTAGAGTTTGTAGTTTATTTAAAAATAACATAAATATTTCACTAAAAAAATAATATAAATATTTTTTAATTTTTAAATAAAAAAATTACAACCATTAATTTAAATATAGTACATAATATCTCATTAAATTTAGGAGCATTATAACATAACAAGTAACAATAATAAATCTTAATTTATGTTTTATGTTATTCATATATACTATATCTTTTGTTATATCTCTATATTATATATTTATTGATTATAATATATAAAAATGTAAAAAAATTATTTTTAATATTTTAAAATTTTATCAATATGTATTTTTATATTATTATTTTATATTTCATGTATCATTTTAATTTAACTTGTTCACTTTCTTTATTTTAGACTTTAATATTTATTTAATTTCATTGATTCAATTATAAAATAAATATTCACCTATTATATTCTTAAATTTAAAAAATTTCATCATTTTAGTATACTCAATTTTATTAGTTATAAATTGAATTTAAATCACCTATTGTCTCCTATTTAAGGATTATATTATCATTTTAGTTTTTTAACTTTCGTTTGATTTGAGTCTTCTAAATAATTTGTTTGCTAAAATTTTTCTTTAATTTTGTTTTGTCTTTAAATTTTTATTTTATATATTTTGATGTAAATATGTATTCATAATAAATAAATTAAGAGTAAGATTCATGTAAATTTTATTATTTTAAATAATAATTAAGAATGTATTAAATAATATGTTGCTAAAATGAATAAAAAGGAAAAATTAGTAGTTGTTAAAAAAATAATTTTAAGTAACTGAAGAGATTTCTAAGTGATAATTTGATTATTTTGAACGGTAATGTAATAGTAAAATAAAAATGTAAAATAAAAAAATTCTTCTCCCATGCACGACTATTTACATAACATTTGTTAAGTTAAAAGATATAAGGAATTATTTTGCTTAAAAAAATAAATTAGAGTACTAAATTGAATTGAAAAAAAAAGTTAAAGGTTTGAAATGAAACTTTAATTAAATTTAGATGAAAAATTGAATAAAAAATTTAAATATCAAATCAAAATTTCACTAGCCATCTAATAATTATCATTTAATTTTTCACTTAGCAATAAAGATGATCACTAAACAAAAACAAACTAATAACAAATCACAATTATGAGAAATGCACAGAAAAGTAGAGTTCATTTCTTATTTACTTTTGCAGCATTTTAATCGTGTATCACACACATACATTCTACAACATATTCTAAAAGTGAATGAAATTTTAAAGTTTTGTACTTAATATCATTTTAGCTTTTTTCTCAATTAGGTAGTGTTCGGAGTAACATTTATATGTTAAATATTATATTTTGAAAATCCTAAGATGCTGAATAAAAATACTAAGATATTCTTAGTAAAACTTATATTAAGACTTTAATAAAAACATAATTAGTTATATAATAAGATTAAGACTTAATTTAGAAAATGTAGATGGATTAACAAAATCGAATGTAATTTCTTAAAAATGCCATCTTTTAATGAAGTGAAATTATTAAATTTTTTCTGGAATGCAAAATACTTACAATACCCATGATATAATTGTAATTAGAAGCAAAATGGCATTACCGTTTCTTCACTGTGAAGGACTCTCAAAGCTGCCCAAGATAGATTAAAATATTAGAAAAAATAAATTTTATCGTTTAGCAAAGATTTCTTAAATATCATTAAAGTATGTGTGGATGAGATATTTTAAATAATTTATTTAATTTACAATTTTATGAGTTAAAATTTATTGTTTGAATGTTGAATTATAATAAACTAAATTAAAGAATTCTAAATCTTAACAAAAAAAAAAGTAAGAATTTGAAATTATTATTTTTATTTATTATGTGTTTTATTTATATTTTATTTAATAATTTAAATTTTATATTTTTAATTAATTTTGTTAAATATAATAATAACTTTATTTTTCTTAAAATGTAAGTAATTTAATTATTTTATTCAAATAAAAATATTTAAAATAAAAAATAAAATATTTTAAAATAAAAAAATTTAAATGATATAATTCAGAATTTTTAATTTTTTTAAATTTTTAATTATTTCGTCCAAATCTTATTATAAAATTTCTTCCTCAAACTAATTGAATAATTCTATCATGAATGCTCTCAATGGCACTGCCACGCCATGGTTCAGCTTTCTTTTTCTCAATTTCATGGTATGAGAGAAGTCTTCAAACTTAGAGAAAAATCACCGAAATCCATGGGATAAAGACTTGAAATTTTGGTTAGAATTAGAGGAATAAACTAATAACCATGGCAACCATGAAACCAATGGATAGATGAAAGCCTTGGAGCTGGAAATGGATGAAGTAAAATTGAGAGAAGACGACCTACTACCTCCTTGGGCTAGCATGGCGACCATAGGAAGTAAATGAAAGACACTTGTCTTGGTCATCATGTCATCAAGATCCAATTCAATGCGAGGTTGTAATGTGGTTAAGTTTCAATGAGAAGTTGGCCAATTCAATTTGGATTCAATAAAATGGAGCAAATTAAGTTAAGTTACTCCAACTAAATCATGATAAAATTGTTGGCTCCATCGTTATAAATAGGAGGCTTAGGATATTGAATTTCTTGCACCTAAAACTTGAAATATTTCCTTCCTTCTATTGTACCAAATTTATACCTTAGAAAGGTTCTAAAATTCTGTGAGTTTAAGTGTTTTGAATCTTGAAGTTCTACAGGTTTAGGAGTTCTTGGGCTTGTTTTGATGCTTTCTTCTTGCTTGCGATTAAGGTAAGGGAAGAGATGGACTTATGTTCACCTTAATAGAATAAGAATAAATCAAAAGAAAAGAATTTATTTTAAAATGCCAAGGCAGCTAAAATCCAAATTGAAAGTGTTATTCATCTTGATTTAATTTATTCTTGTTATATTGATTTTGCTTATGGTTGAATTTGATTTTTTTTTTCTTTCATGTTCTAATTTTATTTTAAATTTGTTCGTGGTGTCCATCTTGAATTTCCTTAAATTTTTTAGAAAATGAACTTGTTATCTTGATTTGATCCATGGAGTGATTGTTTAGTTTGAAAATTCTTAAATTCTTTGAGTATTGTATACCATGAAAAGTCATCTTGATTCTTTTCTATTTCATTAATTTTGTAAACTCATCTCATTTTTACCTGATTCTGATAAACTTCTTTATATTGTTGTTTTCAAGTCAAGTTCTTCACATTTTCATTCTAGCTTTATGGAACCATAACTCGTGATTCATACTCGTTTTAAATATTTCATTTTAATCTTATCAATGTCGTGTTCAGAGGGTTTTCTAATCATCTTGATGTCTTAAAACTTTTTATGGATAAATTTTAATTTTATTTGAAGGAAAACAATTTCTTTGAAGCCATAAATATCTTTCTACTTTTCTATTCACAATACCATATATTTGATTCTTTAAAAGATTAATTTTTACTAATACCATGTGAATTCAAAACCTTATTGATCTTGGAGAAATCAGTCTTGAAAATTTTGTCAAAAAAAATCTGTTGTTATAACGGTTTTGAATCTATCAAACTGTACGAAAATGGTAATGCTTTTTGGCCATAAACCAAAAATGTGGAGATTGAAATATGTTTGTGTTCATGGTTCTGAAATTGTGATTAATGCTTGTGAGGATTGTTATGAGATGAGAATTGGCCATAGATCTTGTACCATCAAGAATTCAAAAATGAAATTTGAAAAGATCTCGAGTGTTTTCTTTTATTAACTTTCCTAATGAAAAAGAAATAAGTGAAAGGGACTCACATGCATTGACATGCCATTAATGATATTAATAATATAAAAATAAGTGTGAGCAGGGATATTCATTCATATGATATTCTTATTATGTGCTTGATGATTGATGGAAAAGACATATTACGAGTGCTTTTAAATTTGTTCTATTCTGAGTATTCCGCCTTTTTTTCTTTTGTTTCATGATATACAAACATCCCAAAATTTTATAAAGGAAATGGAAGATTTGTCATTAGTTATGATGAGCCTGACTTTACATTGGGATGAAAACGGGGCCTGGTTCCCTAATAGGAAAGCCAATCTGCGATACTGCAAGCAGTAAAAAAATCCCTACTATTAATTATGTCTCAAGTTGCAGTTCATACATTTACGCACTCATGAAAGTGCTGTTATTTAGACACAGCCAGCTACATTTCTGCAACAATAGATGTATAATGCTTTATTTTATATGTAAAACAACACATGAAACCCTGAGACCCTGCCGATAGGAAATAGGGTATACATGTGTATTTCAAGGGGGCAGAAAAGATACGGACTACATCATAAAGATCCAGAGTGCAGTAATGAAAAATATTTTTATTTCTCGCATAACATGACCAACCAGAAAACTCTAAGATGAACAAAGAGAAAAGAAAATTGAAAATGCTGGAAGGCACAAAATTTCCTTTCCTTCCCAGTCTTCAGATTCTCTAAAACTTCCAAATCATGAAAAATCATATGGTTGTGGAGTTCCTGCACATGAATGTTACCAAGCTGAGTTCAAGTTTCACCTGTCAGAATGCTTCAAATATATCAACTCCAGTTCTTTGGTATAAAGACAGCTTCTGTCCAGTCGTTTGTTTGAAGCATTGAAGCTATGCAAATTGCCCATTATTTGCAGTAAGTCACACAATATAATAGCACAATAGCCCGGCTGGTTTACCAATGAAATGCATCGTTATCTAACTCACAGATAATAGAGTAAAATGATGTGATACATTTCATCCACTTGGCACAAACAGCACGACAAAGGTGAACTCATTTTTGTTGATAAGATGATCCTAGTCTGCATCACCAAGCCCATCACTGCCATCACCCCTTTTGGATATGGGAGTATAATGTGAATTTGATTTCTTCTTCTGAGAAGCAATTTCAGCATTCTTTCGCAAAACAGCTCCAGGTGATGGATATGGTCGTTGTTGAAAGAGAGGACCCTGAAATTGATTGAGAAAGATAATCACTGATTGATACCAGCAACACTAGAGACTAGCATGGCATCAAATGGATGCATAGTAACCACCAATTCTATTCACAATCTTTTCATTAACACAATTTCACTGACTTTGTGATTGTTTAACGCTGGACCTTTTTGTGGATAACTTCAGTTAAATTCTTCAGAGTTTTGAGCATCCATGGATACCAGATTGAAGGAATTTTTTGGGTTAACAATGCATTAAAAAATATATCGATATCAAATGCACCAAGTAGAGCAACTAAGACAGGAACAAAAGAACTTCTGAAAAGAAGGGATAAAAAGAGGAAGAAACAATGTACATACTGTTGCTGTTGTGTCAGCTGCTCGTGGCTGCACGCCTTTCAGACCCACCACCCTGAATGTAAACATACGAATCCAATTATTAATTAGGTTTTTCTATCAGAAAACCAAGTTGATAAACAATTCAGTATCATACAAGGATTTTGAATGGGTCCAAGTGATCAGTTCAATGGTGAATATATGTACATGCACACATACCAGCCACCACGAGGAGCATCAGAATATGAGCTAGGGTCCATGGGATCCAACTCATCATCCTCGGCATAGGCACGTTTCTTGCCCCCTTTTCTACTTCCCTTATCAAATGGAGGTTTTGAACTGAACCTGGAGAGAGAATTCTGCATCAATACACCCTTTATGGCTTTCATAAAGACTAACTTAAAGATTTCAAGGAAAAATCTTGTGAGATAACTCAAGATGAGATCTCTTCAATAAATCATCCATGAAATCCGAAGCTGAAACAACAGATTTAATTTTTCATCATTTATGACATGCTAACTCAGCCAAACGTTCAGTTTAAGAGAGATGTAATGTAATTGTAGTCCAATTTTGATGACATAGATTGTACTTGATTGTATGAATAATTCTCATTTATTGAAAAATATAATAGATACTATGTTCCATCAATGTTAGTTTTCTTTCCAAAAGTTCACTTCACTTTAATTTTTGTCAATCTTTCCCCAAAGAATGCACCTTGCACTGTTGAACTTTACACAGTATTTTATCAAAATGGAAGAGAACCTAAAAGAAAAGTATATTTGCAAAAAAAATAAAAAATAAAATCACAAACAGATATTAGATTTTTCATGACACTACAATGTACAAAAAGAGATGTTTTAAATGATGGATAGCGGCAGCTGAAATTTAATTATGTTATTATAGAGGTACCCCAAGGGTGGAAGGAAGCAATAAAATGACAAATACAGTCAACCAAACAGCAATATTTTTTTGTTAACAACTTAACAGCACAGTAGATCTTCATACAAAACTATACCTCTGTTTGCCAGCCCTTTGATCAGAATTTTCACTGGGATGTGCAGCACTGCTTTGCTGACTATTCAAACTTGAGGTCAAATATTGACATTGTGGAAGATTCAAAACTCTGCATTTGTTCAATTTTGGATAATAAAAACCAAAAGAAATATTAGAGACAAACAATGGCAGAAAATTTAGAAAAAGAAATAGAGAGCAGGTGATATATTGTCATTTGTGGAGAATCCTTTTTTTTTTTTTTTAACATTTGTGGATTTCATTTACATTAAAACTGAAAATGATGCAAATTTCCAGTGAGCTCCAATTATTATGCCAGCTATGACCCAAATAAACCAACAAATTATAAAAGTAGACTTCAAGTAATCAACACAAGTATCTTTCAGTCACAAATGGTGTTGCACAGAATGACAGTGCGGAATCAAGATTTGCCTTATAATGACCAAACTCGTAATTGGTCAAGTTTCAAGAATTTCAACTACAAAAGTGGAGCCAGGGTTGGTATGTGTAACCCTGTTGCACAGCATTAGTATATTAGTATATAAAGTCTATAGCATGTCACACTTTCTAAACCTTGGTGTAGGGAAAGAAGAGAAATTTTATTTTGTAAAAATCTGGGTCATAGCTAATGAGATAGACTAAGTGACTATCGCACTATGTCAAACATCACAGAACTTTAATCATCAATCAACCTACTACAACATTCTCTTTTGCTATCTATGTAAGATATCATGCTTTGATTCTTGTTCAACATACAACAACCAGAGTATGACCTAGGTAACTTCAATATTAACTTGCACCCGAAACAATCTACACATGTAAAAGGCATAAACAGTTTAAAAAATACTCTTCAAAATTAAGTCCTCAGTAAGCATCAAGAGTCATCACTCTCTACCTTGTGCAGTGACTGCAGTAACCCCATGCTTGAACAAGGCCAACACCCCATCCACCACATCCCAGGCACCTTGGAAAATTAGATGATTGACCATACCCACCACCAACAGACAAGTCTGACTGATTGGAAACAACTTCCTGAGTTAAATTAGGATACTCCCATTGTGAAACATGAGTTTTTGTATTGTAGTAATACCTATGACCTGTAATATAAAGAAAGAATTCATAAGATAACAGGTAAAATTCAGAAAATTTCAGCAAATGAGATAAGAAAATTAGACCCACCAACTACAATCAAGTCAAGGGTAAACTGACCCAACAAACTAAAATTTCCAACGATCATTTTGCATGTGTTAACAGTCTACTTCTCTTATAGACAAAACTAGAATACATGCTGAAACTAATGGCACACACTATATGGTTACAATGAAAATTTGTGATGTATATGCAAAGTGACTTTTCACTTTGCATGAGGAATAAAGTAGATGTACAAAATTGACAACACAAAAACATGCAAAAGGGCCAAAGAAAAGGTCAAACATTAGAACATACAATATAAATCTCTTGTTATCCATAATTTTAAGTATGGCTGTGATGTGCTTTCTATCAGATTTTAAATAGTCTTTCAGTTTCATAATTTTGCACTAAAAATCTAATGGAGATATTTTCTGTCTTCTAACATGTCGATTAAAATTTTAGCAGAGAGATATGAACCTGAAGTCTTTCTTAGAAACTGGGGAAGAACTCCCCACTTTACTGAATAGAACAAACACTAATTGTAGAACTTCAAGGGTCTGCACCTCTCAATGCCAAAAGGCCCCAATTCAATAAAACAATGACAAGATAATCTCTCTCTCCACCCTTCCTCTAATTTATAGGCAACATGCCTTATTTAAACAACCCACTAACCTAACTAACTAACTAACAAATGCAAGTTGTAACTGACTAATTAGTTAGTTATCTAACCCAGGACCATGCATCCTTTTCTGCTGGCCTTCTATGCTGTAAACATAAAGAATGTTGCTTCCTTTTCTTTGTTAAAGCAAAAGGTGTGTCCAGATAAACCATGTAATGTATTGCATGTTTTAAAAAAAATGCTGATATATTACACATGGTTAAATTTATTACTAAGGCACTAAAATTGAGATAAACACCTTTTGCCTCCAAAACTTATTTCCAAAACCATCCCTCCACAGCAAGTCAGTCCTTGACATTAAAACAACATCAAACTTATTAAGAAAGAAAAGAGAGATACAAATGCATGAGGATAAGAAAACCTCAATAATTAAGCCAAGAATGAAAGAAAAAAGGAAAAATCTGTTAGTATAACATGCAATTCATGCATATATAGAAATGGTTAAAGTAGAGCTTATAAAGGCTAAGGCAATCCTCACTCTACAAGCTAGCTTTTGGGTTGAGTTAGGTCCAAGCTCATATTTAAGAAAGTTCATGTATCACAAGTTCAAAATATTTAGTTTTCATATGAATTAGTACATAGGAAGTAACAGCGATTTATTTTCTGCCTAAGAAGTAGTCCCCACTTAATGTATTAAGAGTAGATATGCAGGTGTTTTGCAAAACCTAAGCACTACAAACTCACGCAATATCAATCTAGCTATTCCATCCTATCTCCCTCTCACTATTTCTCGCTTCATCTCCCCCTAAATTCAACATTGTATTAGAGCAGTACCATCCATGGAACCTATGATTGCACGGATATTTCAAAATTGGCAATGTATCTGAATCATACTCATACTAAACACTCAATATGCATATTCTCGAACTTATTTCAGTATCAAAGCAAGATGGTGTTATCATCAAATCTCTTAATAAACAGTTTTTCTTTGGATAATAAACAGATATCATAACTTAAATATACTATTTTTATTTAAATTATGATTATGCATTTTTAGTGAATATTTTAATAGGTTAAAGACTAGTAGTGATACAATTAAAAATATTTTAGATGTGCTAAACCTGTTGTTTCATCCAATGTCTCCACCCAATTTTCTGGAAGATGTGAAGAAGATGGTGATTTCTCAGTTATGGATGCTTCGTGAGGTTTTTCCCATTGACTCTTTCCAGTACTTTCATTATAATAATAACATGCCCCACTTCCCGGATCTTTCACCTCCACCTACATGAAACATCAGTAATTCATAGGCTAGTATGTAGTAAGGTACAAATAAAATTTAAAATACTAAAGGAAATCAGGAAATGATAGAAGTATGCCCATCATTCAAACTTATAATGGGAGATAAGATAACATTAACTATATACCTTCAAACCTAGTCAGGAACTTCTATTTTTAAACAAAGATTATTTCATTACAAGGGTAAAACCCAATATCTGATTTATCATTTGTCATGTCTAAGGTGGGTTTATTCTTCCATAAGCAATATAAATACCAAAAGTTCCAGTCAAAAAGACTAGCTTCACGGTTTTTTTGGTTTTTTCGGAAAAAATACACAGGATTGTGGTAATGACTATGCAGCAGCTTTGACACCCAAATCTTATTATGATTTCTTTTGTGAATGTCAAAGACTGATAAGGAGATTTTGAATAGCTATCTAATAAGGCAACTGCAAAAAAGAAATTCCATCTAAAGGTAAACTTTGATAACAAGTGATACACACCCATCCTGGAGGCAACTTTTCATTTTCTGTAACTTCAGCTGTAGTACCTTTCTGAAATTAAGAAAAACATGTAATCTGTAAGGTAATTGAACAGAATGAAACAATCTACTGTAAAATACCTAAGAACATAAGAAATGAAAAATTCTAAGTCAAACAGCACAGCACAATAATTTGAAAAGGTAGAATATCACATAGCTCAAACCCAAATGAAATTTGCATCAATATTTTGGAATGAAGTATCAGCAACCGATTACCACTTCCAAAGAGGGGGAAAAAGGAGGAGAGAAAACAACTCATACTGGAGGAGGAGGGGTGAAAATCAATTATGAAAGCAAACATAAACTATAATGAATATTCTTACAAGATCTGCAGCATGTGTATCATCCTTAAGAATACCCCTAGCTCTCAACCTCTCCTTGAGGTACTCAGGCAATTCTTTAGTTGCAGGTTTTTGCTCTGAACATCTATCAAGTATAGATTCAGGCTGACCAGATGCATTGCTACCTACTCCACATTTCCAGAAGTAACAAAGTCTTAGTATACTCATTGACTCAGTTATTGCAATGATAAAAGGGTGCCGCAGCATAATGGAATTAAATTTACCTGGAGTAGTATTAAGCTTGGGAGCATCATAATAGGCACCTCCACCGGGTACACCATATCCATTACCTATTTCTGTGTTACCTGATACAGAAGACATATAATACCACACAAAGCATTTGAATTCATTACTATTATAATACAATTATGAATGAAATTAATCATTACAAGTGAATGAGACAATGAGTTTGTCTAAAGTGTTTTTAGGTCTTCCTTGACCCCCTTTTACCGAACTAAAAGTCATGCTGTTCACTCTCCTTATTGGTGCCTCCAAAGATCTTTTCTGCACATGACTAACCATTTTAAACGATTTTCAATTATCTTTTCCACTATAGGTGATACTCTAATATTCTCTCGCATAATATTAGTCTTATCCTATCATTTCTCGTATGACCACTCATCCACCTTAACATTTTCACTTCTACCACTCTCACTTTCTTCTCGTGTTGTTCCTTTAAGACTCAACATTCACTACCATATACAATAGTTGGTACGGTAAAACTTTCTTTTCAGCTTGAATGATACTTTATGGTCACAAATAATTTCTGATATTTTTTCTCCACTCTACCAACCTAACATGTATTATGAGTAACATCTTCATTAATTTCCTTATCATTCTATATAATTGACCTCAAGTACTTAAATCTGAAAAATTATGGTATAATATCATCTCCAATTTTAACTTCCACTGCATGATCGTCGTCTTGTTTTTTTGCTAAACCTACAATACATATACTTTGTCGTACTTCTACTCAAACAAAAACCCTTAGATTTTAAAGTCTCTCTCCATAACTCAAGTTAGCATTAACTTTTTTTTTTCAAATCCTCAACTAACATTATATCATCCACAAAGAGCATGCACTTAAGGATAATTTAATCAAACATGAGATCATATTCATATATAAATTCACACAAAATCAACTAGTACCCAATAATCTAATTTCAGAGACAACTTAATTGCTTTTCTCTAACTTTATATGCAGATATTATTATTTCCAATCTAATTTCAGAGACCTTTTTTTTAATTTGTTTCACTACGATGTTAACCATTGTTACAATAATAGGGTTATTAGTACTATATCTAATCATTAGTATAAAGAGGAGTATTGGGTTAGGGTAAGTGCGCATTTGGTTCAACTTATTTTGAAGAAATAAATACTTATTTTTCCAGCTTTTTGAAAGAGCTTTTGAAAATGAACAACTATTTCTCAGAAACAATCTCTTATCAAACATGCACTAAATGTAAGATAATATGATAGAAACTGGATCAGATATTGAAGAACGATAATCTTTATTGACAGAAACTCTAGTACAATCCAGGTATTTGAGAGACCCGGTTCTCTCTCCAATGACAAAATATGTCTCTCTTAACTTTCTCTCTAATTTATATATGCCTTCTTAAAACCTCCTCACCTAACTCACTCACTCACCCATGTAACTAACTAACGTTGTAAATTTCTAACTAACTAATGGGAACCTAGCTAACACATTATATAACTAATTACTAATGGTGTTATCTAACAACAACACCCCCCCCCGCCCCCCAAAAAAATAGATTCACCCTGTCCTCGAGGAAGGGCTGGATGAAATTCAAATCCTTGATTGATTATAGCACAATTATGTCACATTTATGGTAATCCAACAGTAAATATATTCTTCCCACTATCAAGCAATTATTTGTACATAAATCCCTTTGATTTCTAATTGTACAGTTTGTTTAGATAGGATTTTATTCTATTTCCTTATGTAGAATTCTGATTGATGTACTATATACCTATCTTGTAAACTATTTTGAATCAAGAAATGAAATTTTCATTTCCTCAAATATTTCACAAATACTATAGAACTCTTTTAGTGCCTCTCTGAGTTAGGGTGGGTTTGTCAAGTATGCTGTTAGAGTACAAATGTAGTAATGTACATACGAATCAGACAGTTATTTCTGTTTTCAGAATCTATACAACTGCTCAGAGTTCTAATATTTATGTTCACTAGATAGACACATGATTTATTCTTCATTTTGTAAAGACGCTTAAAATGAAAGGGCCAACAGAATGGAAAATTAAGTAAAGAAGCACCCACAAAAAGAAAATAAACTAGTAATCATCATATTCCTGATAAAAAAAAGTCCAGGAAAGAGGAGTATCCTGAAGTCCAAGGAGCAAAATAAGGAGCAACGTACAAAGAAATTAAGTCATAAAGGAAGGTAAAGGCTAAGTACCAGAATAAAGTAATATAAGCAAAGCATCAATAACATCAAGTCACCAAAGCCACATTATCATTGAACTGGAGACAAAGGAAACATAATGGTACAGAATTAAAAATACTGGGTTAAAGAGTTAAACTACAGACCTTCAAGACGTGCAGCTTTCCCACGCTTAACAGCCATTTCAGCCCGATGCTCTGTGGCCATTTTCAACAGATGCTCCTGTTTTTTTTTTTTTTTATAAAAAAAGGAAAACAGAAAAACAAAGAATAAAAAAAGGGATCACACTATAACTCTCATACACCTCACAGAAATAAATTATAAATTCAATTCGAATCATGTGTTTATCACGCACCTTCAAAGCATTAGGGTCACGACGTTCTAAGAATACATCTAAATTATCCTTGGTATCTGATGAAGCAACGGTTCTTCCCTCTCTGTAACGGCACAACATAAACATCTAACTCAACAATTCTCACTATCTCAAACCACTAAGATATAACAACCATTTTAAAATCAAGAAAACACTCCACAGAATTGGGGGGCGGGGGGGGGGGGGTGTCAATACACACCTTTGACTCCTTATAATATTCTGTGTAGCAATTTCCTATCAATAAAAACAAACCCAAAATAATCAGAAAAATGAAAAATTGTAAACACGAGTGAGTGAAAGAGAAAGAAACAGACTTGTTCACGTAACACAGCGTCCTGAGCAGCAACATCAATGCAACGCGCGTCGTTTAATTGTCCTCCATAGTATTTGGAAACATTCACCGTAACACCATCCACTTCAGAATTCTCAACATGGTTTGAATTTGAAGACATGTTTTCTTCTTGTTGCTTCGTTGATTTTGCATTGGGAGGGACCTCAGAGGCTAAGGCTTGTCCAGAGTGATATAGGGTTCCTTGTTGAAAGTTAAGAGTTGCATTGGGAGAAAACTGATATTGAGTTGAAGGAACAGTATGAGCATAGTTCGGCCAAGAAGGAACACCTGGAGGGAGGGGTTGATCTTGGGAATTATCCATCTCTTTTAAATTTCCTCAATTTCTGATTAATAAACCAATAATGGGTGAAATTGCATGCTTAGCTTAATGTGGAACATAAATAAGGATAAGGAAAGAGCATTTATAAAGTGACAAATAAAAGAAGATTAAGAAATGGCGAGAGTTCAAAGTGTAGAAGAATTATGATGCCGAATAAGATATGAGCCAGCTTGCGTCGAATGAAAGCGTAGAATAGAAGTAGAATTGGATATATTAAAGACGAAGGGTTGAAGATTGACGAGAAAAAACTGCTTTGGATGTGAGTGTCACACGCACACACACACACAGAGAGAGAGAGAGAGGGTTACTGTGTTTGTAGGGTGGATGAAGAAAACCCCTGCGTCTTTGCGTCTTAAGTCCGGCGTCAAAAAACGCGGTTCAGTGCTTTTTTTATTGACGGGCTGGGCCTTTTCTTTTGTCTATTACATGGTATCACTGGCTTTCATTAATTGGGCTCGAGTCCAACTATTTTCTATATGCACCCCTATGCTTTTTTTATAAATTTTGTTTTCAAAATAATTTTATTATAATTTAAATTATCTCTCCTTCAGTTTTAAGCTTGTTCAATTCCTTCACGTTGTATTGCTCTTCTCTTCAGCTCTCTTTCTCCTTTTAGATGTTGACTAGTATTATCATATGTCTTTTTTTCCCTGCTGATAGCATCTCCACTAACAAATTGCTCTTCTCACCGTTCTATCAGCACCTTTTAATCAAGGTTATTATAATTTTTAATTATTTCTCCTCTTGTACTCTTAATTTCTCCCTTGTTCACTTCCTTCACATTCACGCATTGATGCTCTTCTTATCCACCTCTCTCTCATTTTAGACGTTTTTGTCTTTATTTTTGTATTCTTAATTTATATATGTTTGTCAATTTATCTTTCCTTTTTTGTCAGATGATACCACAAAACATACAAATACAAAGAAAATTAGAAGGGAAAAGCTACTAGCTTAAGTGTTGTCAAAAAAAAAAAAAAAAAAACAAAGAATGTTAATGGTAAATTGCAAGTTATTATTTCAACTAACAAAAGAGTAGTTGTTGGATAGGCAACTTTAGATTTTATTATTAAAATATTTGTTGTTATTTCAAAAAATATACCTTTTGAGTGTTACCAAGTGGAAAGAAATTCCTCTATTTGAAAAGGAAAAGATAATAACAAAAGTTTTGGTAATAAAAATCTTATTTTTGTACACATTAATTTTTTTATTTGAATATATAAGGTAATAATTATATTCATTTGAATAGTTGAGTGCATGATACTTTTGATATTGATGATTTAAAGCATAATAAAATGTTATTATTGACACTACGAAAAGTGACTTCTTATCACTTTTAACAATATGAAACAAATGATAAAGCTTTAGAATGTAAGCCTCAAGATGTAAGTGGAAAAATGCTTAGAAATTATTTTTCAAGCTTGGACTATAAGGTATGTTGATGGATAAAAAAAAATTAAAATTATATAATATTTTGGTTATAAATATGGATATTATATTTACCAACATTTTTTATTTTATTATCTTCAAGAATTTAGTGAGAGGAACAAAAAAAACAAAGCAAAGCAAGTCATTAATCGTAGATGTGGAAGAAAAATATTTCAAGCTATTAATTAGGATGCAATAAAATTTAATAAATTTTTATTGTTGAGTACTGTATTATTTGTTAAAGTAAAACTTATTAATGTTTTTTCTTCAAAAAAAAAATTCTAAAATTATGACAAATGACTCACATGAAAAACAACTATGCATGGGTAGACAAAGCTTTTAGAGAAGTTCGTGTAACTTAGAAACTATAACTATAACTATAACTATTATTTTTTAATTATAAAATATAATTATTTTATATTTTCTCTTGTAGAAAAATATTCAAGAAATTTATGTAAAGAAGTTACAAGATGTAGTAGAAGAGGTAGACAAAGACCTTGTAATCAATGCAGCTTTATAATTGAAGGGGCAACTTAGGTATTGCGGTGAACTTGGAGGTGGAATTAAACCAACAAAGGGACAGTGTTTCATTGATTTGCAAACAAAAAATGCATAGAGATCAAATTAATAGAGGTTGAAATTCAACTTCAAAAAGAGAGAAAAGAAGTGATCGTATAATTTGAAGAAAGTCAAAGACAACTCGAAGAAAGAATGAAAAAACGAACTTAAGAAAAGAATAACAACCCTCGATAAAATTAAATAAAGAAAAAATAGTGGTAGAAAAATTAGATAAACTAATTTTATACTCTAAAAATCTATTATCTTCAAATTTTAACAATTAGCTTATTGTATTTACTTTTTTACTATTTGATACCATGAACATTTGTATAGATTAAGCAACTTATTAGAGAAATAAATATGATATCTGAACTTTGTGATAGAATTGAAACATAATTCAAGCAATTTTTTATAATCTTTTCTTTCTTGTTTTATTAGAATATGAATTTATTAATTACATTTTGCGTAAATTATGTTATTACATGTAGTAGTTAATATCACCATTCTAATATTTTATTTTATTGGTTTCATAATAAAATACATGTTTCAATTATAAAATTTAAATTTTTATTTATATTTTGTAAGTCTACTAATGTTGTTTTAACTACGTTACAAGGAGATTTAAGTGAAATTTAAAAAAGAAATTAATGTTGCAATTATATTATTTTCTTTAGAACTATATTTGATTAGAAGTTTCTTTATGAGAAACAATAACTGTTATATAAGGTTGATGTTTGCAATATATGAAAAAAAAAAAGGATGAAGACGAATTTCAGTAACTCATCGAATGAAAAAACATATTTAACCTTGTAATATAAAATAATTAATGGCATGACAAGTTAACTTGATCGTTAAATCTTTACCTTGATTTTTTTTTTTTTATGTAAAGTTTATTTGTATATCAAACATTAATTAAAATTTGTCATTTTCTACGTAACATGTTTAAGTCAATTTTATTATATACTTTAATTTAAATAATTATAACAATAAAATTAATATATATTAATAATATTAATTATAAAAAATAATTTATATTATAACAACGTTAAATAGGTATAAATATTTTATAATGAGGAAAATCAATAAAAAGTTATATAAAGTTAAATATTTATCTCAACAATTTAAATTGTTACAAAATAATAATTTTTTACTCCACTTTTGTTAAAAAAATCAAGATATGATTGTTTAGAAAAATAATTTACAAGGACAATTTTGATAGCTATAATATGTTAAAAAGTGTCAACTATCAAGATATAACTATTATCACATGCAATGATATTTTTTTTACTATGGTAAATAGTTTTTTTAATGACTGTAAAATTTTTGCAACAATAAATAATGTTGCTAAAAACCTTTAACTTTCAACGTATTTTTATTAAAAACAAAATGACAATTGATTGAAGTTTATAAAGAATTATTAAATAATTTTAACAAATTATTATTGTTCTTTCATTTATTTTTCTTGAGTTCATTATTCTTTTCTTCTTAATATCTGTGTTACTTCCAACACACATAACATTGATGACATTTTGTATTTTTATTGAACCTTTCCTATTTCATATGTGACATAAAAAATAATAAATCTCTCATTTATTTATTTTGTGACATAAAAAAAATGATAAACATGTGTATACTTCTTTAAAATGAGATAAATTTTGAAAATTATATTTAAAAGAAGGTTTGTTAACATTTTTGGAAACAACTATAACTTATAGACTTCTAAAATTATGTTTTTGTAAGATATGAACATATTTTTATAATTACATTTTTTAAAAAAAGTGCAAAACATGAAAATGAAAAACAAACCATAAGACAATGAAAATGTTATCAATAACTCAAAAAAATAAAGGGCTTAAATTTAAATTGAACAAACTATGTGTTTACCCTTTTTTTTCTTTTAACTGCCCAACTTAATAGAAGAAACAAATAATAAAGTATAAGGTAAATGATACATTTACATTAGTTTGACACTTTCCTAGCACAAATTTTACGTTGACATTTGTTTATATTGTAAGATATTATACTATAATACTCGTATATAGAGGAATATTTTTGTTAAATAAAATAAATAAATATTCAAAATCTCTAATTATTTTAAAGAAACACACGTTAAACAATGATTTTCTTTAATTTGTGTGGTTTTTAAAAGAGAATGTGAATTTTTCATCTCCTCAAACTAAAAACAAAGAGAGATTACTTTTTTTTTTGTCAAAGTTTTTCTTATAGATTTCACCATAAGATATTGTTATTTCTCTATTTTTTATTCACACATTTTCTTTTTCATTTCACTCAAAGATGAAGTTGCTCTTTCTTCCTTCATGAAAACTTACCTTTCTTGATTTTGCCAAAATATTAAGCCTTCTCTTTTTTGACTCCATTCATGTTTTTCTTTTCTTTGACACACAATAATCTAACGTATCATAATAAGTAGTGTATTAATTTGTTTATATTTTAAAGTTTGATAAACATAATTATGCATATATTGACATTTACTTTTTTCAATATGGTAACAAGATCTACAATTTAGTAACCTACAATCAAATATTATTATTTGATATATATTTATCTAGTTAACTATGGTTAAAAATCTCGTTAACTAATATTAAAATTCAATAATTATGTTCCATATAAAGACAACTAGAGTGCTATTTTTGTCTTAAAAAATATTTATTTAACTTTGTCATATCATGTGAAATGTATTAATCTATTTAACATGATAAATGTCATTTTGCCAATTTATCTATAAAAATTTAACCTATTTATCATTAGAATTTGTATTTTATTCTTTGAATTGTCAATTTTAACCTATTCTTTGAATTTTAACCAATGATTATTAAAATTTAATGTTCAATGAGTTAAATGGTTTAGGTGAAGAAAGATTGATTATCTTAGAAAATATCATCAAGCAAAAAGAAAAAATTACACATTATAAGAAGTGAGTTCGACAAAAAATGTTCCAAGAAGATAACTTAGTTTGAAAAGTGATTTTATCACTTGATAAAAAGTCTAAATTTTTATAAAATTGGTCCGTAATTAGGAATGGCCTTTTGAAATTGTTAAATTCTTTTTAATAACACATATTCAACTAAAGAAGTTAGAGATAAATGTTCAATCATTTCGACCACTTTCAATGCACCTTCTAGCATGGCTTTACTCTCAGCTCTAAGGGACTTCAGCAAAGTTATCTATCCTATTTTCATGTCGTTTCATCCTTGCATTGTTGTGGGTAACAAACCCTTGTCCTTTTTGGCTTTTGCTAACTGTTGTCAAGTGCTTCAATGTCATTTTTGAATTGCTTCAGTCGACCTTGAACAATGGTGATCTTCTCTTTGATACCTTCCAACTTAGAAGCTAGTGTAGTTCATCTTGACAACTTTAAGGTGTATTACTTGTGACTTAAGCTGCATTAATTGGCTGGCAACCATTAGGTCTTGATTAAAAATTATTTTGAAGACTTGCACACCTAACTATTG